TGTTTGCAAGAAAAATAAAATCAAGGGTAAACGTTTATAAAAAATCTTCAAGGTCGATTTTCTCAAGTCCTTTAAGAACAATCTCTATGAAACTTTAAGTAGTTCAAAAAGCATATAGGGATCTCCCGGTCACATGACCCATAGCCGCATGTCAGACATTTTGACGGAATCCGTCCGCCGACTCCGCAGCAATGGAGCTAAGCTAGCTAGTTCAAAAACTTTCTGGAACTACATGAAAACTGAACAAAGAATTCTGAACATCAGCGGTGAGTTACCCATTTACATACCGAACCTAAATCCATAATCAGATCCTCTTCAAATGTGTCCTAAAATGTTCGTTTCATGTTAATGGTTATTTCTGGGTTTATCAGGATCGCTTTTTGTCACATTAAAACAGTATTTTCGTCATGAAAACATGAACAAATAATTCTGAAAACCTCCGGGAATTTGTGTTAAGGATGTATATGTATACTGTATTTTCTGATTAACATTTTTTGGTGTTGATTGATTGATTGGTATCTGTTTATTGGGCAAGGTCTAGCTCAGCTAGCTTCTCTGTACAGACAGAAGTAACAGCTAGCTTTGAGGAGCCGTTTAATAAATTATAATTAAATATTTGAATATATTCGGCCGCACGTGTCCTGACTTAGACCAGGGGGCGGGACCACACTACATCGGTTTTTAAATCGCTGCATTGGCTCCCCGTGTGTTTCAGGATTGATTTTAAGGTTCTTTTAATGGTTTTTAAATGTCTTAATGGTCTTGGGCCTTCTTATCTTTCAGAACTGCTTTTATCCTATGAGCCTTCCCGGCCCCTGCGCTCCTCCGGCAGCAGACTCCTAACCATCCCCAAAGTCAGGACACACACTCACGTCGAGGCATCTTTCCAGCACTACGGCCCCCGTCTCTGGAACAGTCTGCCGGAGGAGCGTAGGGCCGCAGAGAACGTTCGTATTTTTAAAAGCAGGCTCAAGACACACCTTTATAGAGTAGCTTTTGATTAGTATTTATTATTGCTTTTTAGTACATCTATTTATGTTTTTAGACACATTCTATTTTTATTTATTTATTTATTTATTATCATTTTTTATTTTTTATTATTTATTGTATCTACCCATTTACTATTGTTATTATCAATATTAGGCAGCTGCCATTTTTCTTTTTAGTGTCTCATTTTATTGTTCTACTTTCTATTGTATTATTGTATTGTTCCGGTGGGGGTCTGGGGCCTCCTCTCTCCTCTGTGTCCTATGGAGTCTGAGTCCTGGGCCTGGTGGGGTCTGGGGCCCCTCTCTCCTCTGGGTCCTGTGTCGTTCCCTGTGGCTGCAGCCGGCTCTCTGCTCCTGGTGCAGATGGCTCCTTGGATGGTGCTTCTTCAGCCGGTTACATCTGCTCCCAGCCCCATTTCTTTTTATTGTTTTACCTATTGTGTGTGTGTGTGTGTGTGTGTGTGTGCACTTGTTTTCAACTCCTGGTGGGTTCCATAACCTGAGATTCCACTCACGTCATGGGGACTGGTTTTACGTGGTGGGGCCTGAACACCGGACCCCACTGGTCCAAGCTTAATAATCAATGGGTAATGCTTTTCTAACGGTCCTTATGCAGTCTCTGTAAAAGTATGGAAAGGACCCCTGGAGGTTTACTTTCCTGAAAAAAGTGTGTTATGTGTCGGAACCCTGGTGGTGGGTTGCGGGATATCAAGGAGGGGCACACTGGGGCAATTTCAGTCCAGCAGGCTGGAGCCAATCATGGAGCAGCACAACAGAGGAAATCAGGTGTCAGGCTAGAAAAAGGTGCAAGTGTGTGGTTCATTAGGCTGCAAGAAATCATGGAGGAGCACACTGAAGCGCACGCTTACAAACCACTGGTAAGTGCTGACTACAAGTCATGACTTCAAATTGTTATATAGAATGATTACAAATTATTTGTTGTTTGTGCAGCTTAGTCAAGAGTCCCTAATTGATGAAGTCGACTCAGATTCTGACGATTTAACTGTCAAGAAGAAACCTGTAAAAAAGTATGGAAAAAGAAAAATCAAAAACACTTTTCTTCAAGACTCGGAAAGTGACGAACCAAAGGCAAATAAGATTGTTATCATGCAGCTGCAAAAGAAGAAAAATGGGGGGCGAGTTTACAGCAAGAGACACTTCTGCCTCTACTGTTCAATGTCCTGCCACAAAATGTCCCGTCATTTGACTAGAAAACATGGAAATGAAAGTGACGTAGCCAGAGCATTGGCTCTACCTGTGAAATCTAAAGCACGTAAACTTCAGTTTGATTTGATCAGGAATAGTGGAAACAGTGAGCACAATTTTGAGGTTTTAAAGGCCGGCATTGGAACTTTAGTCCCAGCTAAACAGCCAAATTCCCCAGTTAAATCCAGTGAGTTTTTGCACTGTATAGACTGTGGGGCATTGCTTAAGCGAAAGTCGCTGTGGAGGCATGTGGCCAGGTGCCGGCTTTCACAGAAAGATGCCCAGGCTAAACCAGGTAGAAGTAGGGTCCAGTCCCTCTGCTCCCTAGCCCAGCCTGTACCGGAGGGCATCAGCAAAAAGCTGTGGTCTTTAATTTCGGCAATGCATCAGGATGAGGTCACGGGTGTTGTCAAAGCAGAAAAGGGGATTCTGAGACTCGGAGAGCACCTGTACTTAAAACACGGGCATGATAAGACTAAGCTGATTACATTAGGCAGAAAATGAGAGAAGTCGGTAGGTTAATTAACGAAGCAAAAACCGCAGGGAAACTGAAAACAATTAAGGATTTCTTTATTCCTTCCAACTTTAACCATGTGATTGATGCAGTCAGGTCTGTGGCTGGATATGATGAGGAAACAAATCAATACAAGACTCCATCCTTGGCCCTCAAACTCGGCCATAGCCTCAGAAAGCTAGCAGATATTCTTGAATGTGACTCAAAAATGGAGCATTGTGTTGATGAACTATTTATTAAAAACCTCCAACGAAGCCGGCTGCTTTTTGAGAAGAGGTGGGACGTCTGTGTTTCTTCTGCTGCCCTACAGACCCTCCGGCAAGCCAAGTGGAACACTCCGGACCTGCTCCCTCTGACTGAGGACGTTAGAGCCATGCATGCACATATTGAGGTATGTCGACCTGAATATGTGCAAACCCTAATAAGTGAGCCAACGTCTAAGCATTGGTCTAAACTGGCAGTTTTGACTCTTTGTGAGGTCATCCTTTTCAATCGAAGAAGGGAAGGTGAGGTTTCAAAGATGCCACTGACAGCCTTTACCTTAAGAAGTAAGACTGGGATCCATTCTGACATTGCTCTGGGACTGTCCCAACTTGAGAAAAAGCTGTGTCAGCATTTTCAACGCATTGAAATTAAAGGGAAAAGAAGTCGGAAAGTGCCGGTTCTTTTGACTCCTGAAATGATTGCTTCGATGGAGGTGCTGGTGGAGAACAGAAGGGCCTGTTCCATCTCTGACCATAACCCATACTTCTTTTCCCGCCCGGGCGCAGACACCCACATCAGGGGATCAGACTCCCTACGCCAGGTAGCCAAAGAATGTGGTGCGGTGCATCCAGAGATGCTATCCTCAACCAAACTTAGAAAGCACATAGCTACTATGTCTACAGTTCTCAATATGAAAGAGAATGAGATGGACATACTTGCCAACTTCCTCGGCCATGACATTCGCATCCATAGGCAATATTACAGACTACCAGAGGGGACACTGGAGCTGGCCAAAATCAGAAAAGTGTTGATGGCCATGGAGCAGGGAAGAGTGACGGAATTCGAAGGAAAGAGCCTCGACCAGATACAAATTGAGCCTGAAGGTAATTCTTGATATTATTAAAATATGTATGATTTTTTTCCCCTAAAGGCCACTTGTATTTTTATTTTCTGTGCGACAGGGAGAGCAGTAGAGATCCTCTCACAAACGGACGGGCTAAAAGAAACTTCAAGCGGAGAACCTTCAACCATTCATCCAGATGCACCCCATGGTAGTGGCAGTGCCCCTTCTGGTAAGTGTACCAGGTGGGGGATTACAGCCAGGCTGCTTGGTCCTAACCCTGGGAGTGTATATTGCTAATATATTTTTATTTCTCTCCCTAGAACGTGTAAGAAAGCCATGGTCTGCATCTGAGGTGAAGGCTGTGGAGAAGACCATGACACCTTTCATACAGACTGGAAAGGTCCCTGGGAAGTCTCACTGCCTGGCCTGCATTAATGCCTCACCAGATGACCTTAGACATCGGACATGGAGTGGCATTAAATTCTATGTCAAAAATAGAATCACTGCAATTCGAAAACAAAATCTAAAATAAAATTCCTTTAAAATAGTTGTTTGTTTTCTATTGACTGTTTTGTATTACTTAAAGTAGTCCCAGTAAAAAAAGATTATGTCTATGGGTCCCATTCTGAACGGCCCTGTCAAAGGGACCCACCAGGTAACAAAAACGTGTGTGTGTGTGTGTGTGTGTGTGTGTGTGTGTGTGTGTGTGTGTGTGTGTGTGTGTGTGTGTGTGTGTGTGTGTGTGTGTGTGTGTGTGTGTGTGTGAGTGTATGTGCATGTGGTTGTATATATAATTATAAATGTGGTTTTGGGGGGTCTGTGGGGAGGAGGGTTTAGGGCTGGGCATGTTGGATTGTTTTTAACTAAACTGTAAAGCACTTTGTGTTAAATTTTTTGTATGAAAAGCGCTTTATAAATAAAATGTGATTGATTGATTGATTGAACTAATGTTGGTTGCCTGTTTATTGCCGCCAACCACTTGTTTCTCCGTTTTGTTTCTTTTGGGATACGGTATAAAGATATTCCTTTCGTCTGATCATGTATCTGGTCGCATCCAACTGCACAGCATCGCTCCGGCATGATAGGAAAATTTCACAACGACCTGTAGTATCACCAGCGGTTTTGCATTTTCTATTCCGTCAAGATGGCTGCTCCAAATGGCGTGACGTCAGACGGGACGTCCCTATACCAAAGGACTTGCAGGAGTAGGATGGTCTAACATTAAATCTGAAGAGTCACTTACCTGTGTTACCCGCTCCAGTCTGTGCTTGGCCCCCTTCAGGACAGGGTCGGAATAGCGCACAGTCATCTCTGGGTTTTCCCTTTGGGCTTTCACACTGCTGCCAACCACTGGACCTGTGTAGCTGAACAAAGACACAACAAGACACATATAGTTCAGTACGCAGTGTCCCAGATATGCACATACTGCTCTTGACCTATTTACCCACAGCTAGTACTACTACACACACAATGAAACAAGTTCCTCGGGAAATCCAATCCACGAGTCCGGATACAGTTTCAATTAACCTACCTCCTGCTTAAAAATAAGAAAGTGGTATATCTTATAATAGGGGTCATGTTATGGCTTGAAGACAATAATTCAGCTGCAAAAATGTGGTACTGGCATTCCCCTTGATTCTATGTTGCACTTGTTTGGTCAAAGGTCTAAAATTATGAATTTCCCTAATATTATGAAAGAGTACATGTGAATAGATAATTGTCGGTTAAGCTAAATTAAAGGACAAACATGTATTTTTTTCCAGTGAAATGTCTGCAATTTCCTTTTCTCTAAGAAGGTAATAATTATGTTTCTTAAAATTATTTTTGTTTTACAGTTAAGCTACACAAAAGATAGAGGTGGAGTGGCCGTTCAAAGACATCTATATGGAAAATGTCTTAGTAATTCTTTTGAATAAGAATGAAAACGATTAAAACATAATAATACAGTGGTCTCTCGTTCATCGCTTAGGTTACGAACCCTAAAAGAACCTGAAATAAGAAAAATCCACAAAGTAGCAGCTATAAGTTTTGTATTGATTGTGAGAGATGGTGGCGATATCAAACCAGTTTATTGTAGGTCTGAACCATAACTGTAAGGAAATACAGTTACTCAGAAAGAGTTACATAGCCGCTGTTATACAAGTGTTTGGTGGCAATAAATACACAGTAAAACAAGTCAAAGCAATGACATATCCATGGGTCAAAAAGTACAAAAAAACAATCAGCTTTCCATTTGAAACGCACAAAAACGTATTCTTAAAACTTGGGTTGGATTTGAATATTTGTTTTCATACCACAACAGAAACGCTTGCAACAAGGTTAGGAAATCCAAGGGTGGGTGAGTTCATAATAAAATCAAATATTAATGGGAAAACATGGCGTCACATTTACCAACTTTCCGAGCGCAACCCAGACAAACACAACAGTCTTCAGTCAGAGCTTCTACTAACCACACCCTGTGACACATACACACGTCTGCAGCAGCGAGGCCAAGGACACGGACTGAAGCCAGCGGAGCATGAACGATGGGAACCAAAGCACCAGGAGCAGTGCCTGGTGGTGAGGCAGCAGCAGCAGAGTGCGGAGCCGTGTCACTCTCCAACATCCAGTCCCAGCTCTGAGGCTGTGATGTAGCAGTAAAACGCCTCTAATGTGCATTTTGTTCCCGCTCAGATTAACTTTTAATGGAGGGACAAGTAATAAAAGTTAGTCAAGTTCGATCAATTATTCAACACGTACTGTGGCCTGAGGAGGAGTTTCTGTGGGATCTAAACTTGCGTAACATCACACGGCTGTGGTATGATGTGTTTGTCTGTTTAAATGTTAGAATAGGTCGGATTAACATATAAAAAATAAAAATCTAACGAATTATACAGATGTTTTCTTTCATTAGTCTTAGCAATGGATCTTGTGCTTGCATGTGAGTCCTTAATAAAGTCTAAAAAAAGAAAAAAAATATAAAGACTATACATGAAAACCAAACATATATTATGCTGTGCTATACAATAAATAACAAATACATAGCTAGATACTTTTATTTTTTATTTTATTATTATTATTATTATTAAAGGACAATAAAAATCCAGACAGACAAATAGATAGATTCTTTATGCAGACATTCAGGGGTCCAGCAGCAGAAACACATCCATCCAAACAAACAAATACATGCGTAATTCTAAAAGTCACTAACAATAGTAATAAAGTGCTATTGTCACTTCTTATCCTCTGGGTGATGTGTACAGAGTCTGTTTGATGCGGAACATTTTTTTGAAGTTCTGAATGCTTTATCAATGCTATTAGAAACCATTAGCAAAAACAAAAATGTGCGTTCCTCTAATGGATTTACTGCTTGGTTTGGACCGTGCATTCTCTCTGCTATGTTCTGGATCAGTGCAAAACCATGAAACTCTTGAAATGTACAGCTGGCAAAAAGCAGGAAAAATAAAGATTGCAAGAGCCTATAATTATGAATAGTTTATTTTTTGCCGATTTTCTGCCGATACATAAATATATATCATCGTTTTCTTAAGCATACAGTATGAAAAAGCAGGCATTCATTATATTGACAGAAATGTGAAGGATTCATTATTGTTTCTATAGAGCTGTAGGACTGTGCATTACCTGCAAACTGATTCCATCACGATTCATATCCAGAAACCAAAATCAATATGCTTTTACTTCCATGCAATCAATACATTTGGTTTATCTGACACGTAAAAAAAACGTAAATGTGAAGTAATGAAGAATCAAATCCCCTAATACAAGCTGTACATGATTATTCGGGACTGGAAATGCTGTTTGAATATTTTAAGGGAGTAAAGTCATAAAACATTGTATTCTATGTTGTCGTCTATTATTAATCGACATATAATATGTCGTCTATTATATTATAGCTCAATGTTATAATCCATTTTAACATTATTTTACTAGTTGTTATTTTACATGTCCCTTTGCACCACAGGAAGTCATGCATCTGATGAAATTATATTTTGAACCTCAAATTACCCGGGCTACATTAAAAGTTCATCCATTAAAGACTGTTCTGAAAGAGGCAGACTGTGTGGACTTTGCACCAAGGATTATAGTCTGACACATTGCCATGGAAACAGCTGCTTCATTGATCATCTGAAAACATAACTGTGTTCCAAAGATGAGCACAGCATAAACATGTGCAAAGATACAGGCCTGGGCAATCATTTATATAGAGTAAAAACAAAAACATTTAACACATTTAAGACGCTATTTGAAAAAGGACTAAAGCTGGAGGTTGCTTTGGCAAATGTACAAAAGATATGTCTTGTAACACGAGCCATAATCACAAAATTAGGTATAAACACTATTTTCTCTAATTGTTGCAGCCATCACAACATAAACATGTGCAAAGATACAAGCCTGGGCAATATTAAAAAATCTACTTGAAAAATGACTAAAGTTGGAGGTTGCATTGGCAAAGTTACAAAGAAATTGTCTTGTAACACGAGCCATTATCACAAAATTAGGTAAAACACTTTTTTTCTCTATTTGCTGCAGCCACCACAACATAAACATCTGAATGATCGGCCTCCTCTATCTATTCCTCCACTCTGTTATTTGTCTAATAAGATTCCTCACAAATAAACCAAAAAAAACAAAGATGGAGAGACTGAATAGATGGGCTCAATTAAACACCAGAGCGCTCCAGGGGGAAATCCCAGAATTCCTTTGACGCCGGCGCAGATTTCAGGGATCAGTGGAAGCAGCAAGAACAACACAGGCGTCACAGATTTGGCAACGCACTCATTCAGACTGTTTTCTGTGTCATTCCACATATGGGAATTTTCGCCGAGTATCAATAACCCAATTGTCACATTCAACGCATTCATTTCACAGCGATGTCGACGGTTACATCTGAGTAAGATATATTTGACAGCTCTAGATGAAAAATAAGGTTGTCATAAATAACTGATGGTTCAAAGGGCGACAGTGGCTCAGTTGGTAGAGCATTGGCCTTTGAGCCTGAAGGTCGTGGGTTCGAGCCCGACTCCCACTGTCTGCTGTCGTTGTGTCCTTGGCAAGACACTTAACCTCTGGGAACACCAGCCACAGTGGGGCGGCTGTAAAGTGCCAAAGTGCCGTTGTGTCCTTAGGCAAGACACTGGTCTGGTGTGTGTGTGAATGGTTGGTGGTGGTCGGAGGGGCCGATGGCACAGACTAAACCTCGCTTTAGTCAGTGTGCCCCAGGGCAGCTGTGGCTACAATAGTAGTTTATCACCACCGTTTGTGGAGTGAATGACATGTGAAGCGTCTTTGAGTGTCCCAAAAAGCGCTTCACAAAAATATTACATGGACAAAGATTTACGAGGTTATTCCAAGGATCTGCTGTAAACTCCTCCAGCTCTGTGGTCACTGTCCGAGGGCACTGATCCCCACAGTTGCGAGAGTGGCGAGGGCCTTCGTTGGGGGGGGGCTGCTACCCAAGTCTCATAGCAACAGTCCCTCTGATCTTCCTGCAGGTGGTGGGTTGGCTTCTCCGTCATTGAAGATATGGCCTTGGTCTTTCAGCGGGGGCTTCAGGCAAAGTGGGTGTTAAGTGTCTATCCCAGGGACACAACGACAGCAGACATCAGTGGGAGCAGATGAAATGGGTTGTGGTGGGATCGAACCCACGACCATTAGGTTCAAAGACCAGTGCTCTAGATATTCAAATGTGTGTTATTAAAAAGGTTGACGGTTGACTGAATAGTTCTATCTTCATTCTTTACGCTCCCTGGATGAACTCATTATGGCACCATTCCACACTCTCTCTTTAGTTAATCTAATCAGACAAAAATAGAAAGTTCCCAGTCTGATCATGAAGCTAATATCCAAACCCACACAGTCACAGCAGATATATACAGAGCAAACCTAAAAGTCATTTCAGTCTTATCAGATAAGTGCTGAGCTGAAACAACATTGCAGACATTATGAATGAGTCATAGTGTTATAAAATCATTTTGCTCGCAGCATCAGTCAAACAACTCCCAAGATTATAAATAATGATAAAAGATAGACATTTATGTAATTTACATTTTTATGGACGTGGATGAAAATATATAGCTATAAACAACTAGATAATATTGTTTTCTCAATCCAGAAAATACACATTTGCATAAGTGTGGGTGAAACACTTTGAAAAAATGTGTAAATATTGCACAACAATCCAAGCAGAGAAAAGGCCAAACACAAACAACACAAATGAATCAATTCGAAGTAGAATGTTTGTTTTGGGATTGTACAGCTCACTGTGATTAAACAAGGAATCCTCTCTTTCAAAATATGACTTTTATTCAGTAATACCTTGTTTTGCTGTTCGAAGGCATTAATTACTGGGTCATATTTTTAACAT